CGATCAATAGCAATCGACAAGATTGCTTGATTGCCAAGCAAACTGAAGTGAGACGGCATGGAAGTCGATTTTGATTCACTACGGCTTGCCAATTGATCCGAGCTGAACGTGAAACACATGACAGTGCAAAGCAAATTACACTCTCGATCATTTGCTACATCGAGGGGTAGAAGAAGGCACGACCATTGACCTGAGCCTCGTTGCAGTTTTACTGCCCCGGCCAAGACTAGGAAAAGCATGCACACTGCGTTCGAAGGCATGTTGCACCTGATTACTTCGGACAACTTTCAATGCTTCAACTTGAAATAGCAGTACTGATGAATCGTGTAGCAACACCAGCGTTTTTCGTGGATAATCATCATGTCTGGATCGGCTTTATAGGAGGCAAGTGCAGATGCACCGTCGATCAAATGCATCCGTTACTGTCTCCTCGCATGGAGCTTATCGAAAAGTGGAAAGCTGCGATCTTCAATGACAAATATCGGCTACGAACTTGTCGTTGCTGTTCTACATGAGACCCAGACACGACGGCGACGACACGGCGCCCACAGAAGTGCCACAAGAAAAGATACTTTGCGACCCAGTAGATACACAAACGTCCGCGACTTTACTTGCCGGCATCGGTGAGCCACTCTACTCACTGTCAATGCCGCGAGTCGAATCAACCGCTCGACAGCATGACGTGTCCGAGAAAAGCACCAGCACGTCAGCGCACTGGAGCTTGCAAACACCTTCCGTTCAGCTTGTGGTGGTATATGGATGTCTTTGACGATTACCAACAGAGAGGTGTCAGCAGCATGCAAGGACAGTTGTGCTGCCTTTCAATCGCATTAGCAAAGACATATGCGGTGGACGAGTAGGACTTTGAATCGGACTAGAGAGACGAATGACAGCATGCAGGTAGGCGCGTCTGGTGTCAAATGCATGCTAGAGCTGTAAGTTTACCTTCGATAATGACTGTGGTTGGCCTTCGTCGAGAACAACGTCAAGTTTGACATGCGCTATAAGGTCTCAATTGTGATTGCCTCCGCAGAAAGCAGATGCTGGTGCAGTAAACTACGCCACCACAACGAGCGTGGTAAAAAGAGCCGACCGTCGTGAGCAAATGTCTTGACTGGCCAACGTTCCACATGGCATCAAAGTTATTGCAGAGAAGTCGTTTGTCAATACCATTTGCGTTATGCGAGCACTCGTTGCAAACGCGAGATAGCGAATGTCCGTAAAAACATGGAGCATGCCACCTGCTACCTCCACAGCGCCAATTACAAAATCATAGTACAAACCGATGTAACGACCATTGACTGCTGTAGCAAATTGGATGCCTTCATTATCAGGCCAGCCGGTTATAAATAATAAAAACGTATCTGCTGTATGATCTCACGTGTCTCCTTCTGCAAAGAACCGGAAACATCTAATCCGACACGGTCACGTAGCGCTTCTAGTAGTTGGGCTGCGCGCATCTCCATTCCAGGGATGCTTCCAAACAATTGAAAATATGCAGATAGCTCCGCCTTTGATCTTTCATTTTCCAACGCACGGAGGACTTCATCGTCACTAAACTCACCGTGATTTTCTCGGTATGCGTCCACATATCCAAGAAATTGTTTGAGTTTCTTGAAGAAGACTTCAGGATCTTCTATTTGCTTTGCGCGCCCTGCGCGATCAAATGTCGCAATCGAGCGATCCACCATTGCAATGGGCATTTTCCTGAACACTTCCCAATGACCTGCATTCGCTTCCACCAGCAACATGATCTTCATTAGCTTGTTGCGTCTGGCAGGCAATAACTTCTCCATCTTTGACGCCAGATCCTTCAACTCGTTATCGGCTCGAAGACCGTGAAGGAATGCATTCACTTCTTCTGCTCCACTGCAAAACTCCAGTGTGTCGAGTACGATCTCTTCCGAACGAAGGTGAGCATCATCTTTGCCAGCAAGAGCGATAGAATGTTTACGGTTCCACCCTTTACAATATCCAATCCACAGCTTGAGCTCGAGATGGATGCCAGGCCACTTCGTGGACCCTCCAACACCATGCGCACGAATCTCCACTGCGCGAGGCAATATCCTTAAGACATCCCTAGGTTTCACATCTGCTTTCAGCCACCTAGGAAGCATCCGACTCAAGGTCGCAGGGTGTGAAGCAACCAGCTGTTTTTCCCAACCATAGATAATTGGTCTCGATTCGAGGAACTGCTCAAAAATTGCGGTCGTCTCATCCACCCCTCTTCTGTTCAAAAGCCAGGTCACAACGGATTTGCTGTCGAAGTATTTCTCCGGGTAGCTCATGTTGAAATCCAGAACATATTTCAACCACGAAGAAAGTTCGACTTCGACGGAACTCCACGCTGCCTTTTTCGTTACTTCACCTGTCAGTCTCCCCATCGCTGCAATGGGCATTAATTCATAAATCTCGTCCGGTCCTACTTCCCATGTCAAACACAATTGCTTGATCTTTTCGGCGTCTTCCGAGTTTTTCATAGTTATCACTTCCAGCAAGCTGCTGGCGCGCTCCTTCGAAGGAGGAAAGCTCTCAAGCCAATGGAGAAATTTTATCACCCTCTTGACTTTAAATTTCTTCACCATATGCTCAAGTATCTCAACGTCTTCGAACGCGCGAGTCTGAATGTTAAACAACTCCACATACGCAGACCACTCGTAGAGCTTCTGAAATAAGGTGAGATCCTGATTCGACCCCGAAGGGACATCAACATGCTCCAGAAAGTTCGTATATGCTTTTTTCTGCAAGGCTATCAGTTCCCCCTGTACTCCTTGATGAATTGCAGCGCTCCCGTGTGACACTACATCGTTCAACCCTCTCTCCTCGTCGCGGCGGTGAACAAAGTCGCTCGCTGCCACTGTAGAGTCCTGCGAGTGCAAGTGTCCTGGCCCGTCGAACGCAGTAAGTTCCAGCGGAGAATGCAGAGTGGAAATGTTAACTGCCTCATTGTTCGTCCCACTGTCGACAGTGGTTCTAGAATCGGCACTTGTTAGGACCAAGAAGACGGAGGCCGTGACCACGTGACGAGTGGGACGCATCATTCTTCTTCCTAACTGCGAGGGGTTTTGAGAAATGAGAGAAGCCAGTTCTCCTGGTCGGAATGTGTGGACCACGTAGATGTCGATCGACTGACCGACCGACCAGTTCCTGTCACTACTGCAGGGGTTGGTCATAATGCTGACATAGTGTCGGTCACAGGGAGCCACAAGCCAGCCAGACTGTCGACCAGCCTGCTGCTCCGTCATTGGCTATAAATGCGTCTTCTTCACATGATCAATGGTAACGGCTGGGTTCAATTTTGATTCGGCTATGCCATTCAATTTCGTCATCTGAAAGAGCTCAGAAAGACGTCCAATTTCGTCAGGAGTAGATCGTAAGTACTCAATTCACTAATATTGTTTACCCACTTACTTGCCCGTTCAAAGCCCAAACAGACGGTTTCAGTGCAATTCGCGGCTTCAGGTCCAACTACATTCCTTCCTTCCTGCCCGAACTCCAATCTTATTAGCAACAACAACACAGGTGCATTTTTAGGGGACTGCTGATACAACCCACTTTGTACGAGATACACCCCGTACACCACACCCGTGCTACGCCACACTATGGTTTGTACGACGAACATCGCGCTAATTCACCTGTATACGACCACTATAGCACAACAATCTACAAAAGTCGTATGTATAGTAAGTGATTTTACCAGTCTATCTCGCATCTGCGAAATGACCATTGCGTCGTTCAAAAACTAGCATCGCAGACGCAAATAGCCCTCAGTCTCGTCACCCGCTGTGTTAGCAGAATGTACGTCAATAAGAGTAAGCCCAAGTGAACAATATCGCGATGAAAAACAAACTATAGCGAGTTTGTAGCATCTTGCAGAGTGAACATTGTGACGCCAGCTGGTCGCATGTTATGCTAGGAATCCAAATATTGGCTACGTTACTCGTGTGAACTGAAAAGGACAAAGATCAAATACAATATACGTGGTGATACAACTAATAAAAAGAGACCGATCACACCACCTCGAACGATGGAGATCGGATACTCATAGTGCAGCTAGACAATCATTTTATTATTTGGCCGACAATGATCTTGTCCCAACGCAGATTCAGGATAGACTCGATCGAAAAAAAATAGCTGTATATAGAATTTGTCGTTCTTAGCGGTAACTTTCTATGCAATGTTCGAATGCGATTACGTTTGGTGTAAGTGAACTATTGTTTCATCCATTTTTGTGTCTTTCTCGACTGAAACGCAGCTATTGTCATTTCTTCGAGAAACAACTAGCCAATTAGATGTATCTGACATGTTATGACGAGTGATTCGTTCTCGATCATCAATGTGTTTTCGAAAGCAAAGAGCTCCAATCGTCTATTGTGTGCGAAAACAAGTTTGCTTAAAAGATCACTCAACATTTGTACGATTGATGCAGATTGTGATGTGCGATAGTGGACGTACAGAGGTAATTGGCGCAAAGTTGATTGTACAAATCGTGTTGTGATGTGGCATTGGTGTAAGATTTGGGGTGTATTATGTAAAGAGTGAGGTGTGTTCAACAATAGCCTTTTCAGTGCGCGCAACAATATTCATTTTGGGAATGCGCAAGTGCGGCCTTGTCACTGCTGCCGTCTGCGATGCACATGGACCTGCCACATACTCATCGCTGTGCGTATATGAAGATTCCACTAACACTTCCGTCTCGCGTAGAAAGACATTCTTTATGAACTTAGTTATGCCCATTATGCCCGCATTGCCAATTGATAGACGTGCTAATTTGTACTTTTAGAAGGGCATCTATCCAATTATCATGAAGACGGTGATTCCTTTATTAAGGAGAGATGACGTGTAGTTAATGAAAGGTGACCTTGATCTTACACCGTATACATCCTCCAGATGAGCTATTTAAGATCAAAGCCGATTGCATTGAGGTCGTGAAATCTGCACCAAAGATGTTCTTCAAGCAAGTACAGCCGAAGAAATGAAATACTAGATCAAGACGGTGCATGCGCACATTTTGCTTCATTTTACAGGATTTGCACTCGTACGACTCGAAAGAGGAGACAGGGATGGTGGGATTGAAAAACCAGGGGGCTACATGCTACTTGAACTCGCTGTTGCAGACGTTATTTCACTTGCGAGCATTTAGGCAGATGGTGTATGAGACGCCTACTGCTGAAGAAGACACGAATAATTCTGTGTCGTTGGCATTACAGCGTGTATTTCACCGGTTACAGAGTCAACAAAAGGTAGTGTCGACGAAGGAACTGACGCGCTCATTCGGATGGAGTGCGATTGACTCGTTCATGCAACATGACGTGCAGGAGCTGTACCGAATTTTGTGCGATCGGTTAGAAGAAAAAATGAAACACACGAGAGTGGACTCGGCAATTCCGAAGCTTTTTGAAGGCAAAGTAAGGTCTTTTGTGCAATGTGTGAATGTGGACTTTCAGTCTTTTCGTGATGAAAGCTTTTATGACTTGCAACTGGATGTCAAAGGTTGTAAGGATTTAATGCAGTCCTTTCGCAAGTATGTGGAGGTAGAACTGTTGGACGGAGACAATCAATACGAAGCTGAGGGACATGGAAAACAGGATGCCAAGAAGGGCATCGAGTTCGCCACTTTTCCGCCTGTTCTTAATATCCAGCTTAAGCGCTTTGAGTACGATGCCATGCGTGATGGCATGGTCAAGGTTCACGATCGCTTCGAGTTTCCAAAAGTTCTTATTCTCGATGAATTTATCGCTCACAGTAGCGCAACAAAAGACACCAACGAGAAATCTCCACGGTATGTTTATCATCTCCATAGTGTTCTGGTTCACAGTGGTGATGTGCACGGCGGTCATTACTACGTATTTATTCGACCTGGAAAGCATACTGGTTCGAGTACGAGTTGGTTCAAGTTTGACGATGACCAGATCACGCGCGTGGATGAACGTATAGCAATCGAGGGAAATTTTGGTTCTGGTGGGACTCCTGTAGATTTTTTAAATTTTTTTTTGTTTTGGGGGGTTTTTTTTTTTATTAGGAAAAGAAAAAAAATCTATACTCCTACTTTTCCATCAAATTAATTTTTTTTTTTAAAGTTAATTTAAATTATTTCTAGTTTGGGGTCCACTGACAAGGAGGATCTACGGAATCGCCGTCGCCTTTGCACTCGTCATCAATTATTGGTCCGTCTGATATAAACGCTGAAAATGCTAATGAGCCTGGTGGCATGGATGGCTTAGAATTTACGTCGGTGGCTGCACCGGGCGAGCCCGGTACTGGTGGCGGCAGCGCAACGGATGAAGGATATGAGTACAGTCAATATAACGACACGAGCAGTATCCCGTTACGTCCTTCGTCAAGCACTCAGATGCTTCCACTCGGTAGAAGTTTTTCTAGCGCATATATGCTTGTGTATGTGCGTGACGGTGAGAACGACATCAGCGCCATTCAGGAAGGGGCTTTTGTGGATACAGAGAGTATCACAACGACACCTTGTGCTTCAAAAAAGAAATATCCGCGGCTGATCATTTACTCAACAGCATTAAAACGGAAGTACCACCTATCGAACCGGAGACTCGTACTTGGGAAAGCGATCCGGTGTCGATTCCGACCGAGCTGGTTACACGGTTCCACGAGGAGGAAAAAGCAGTAAGCCGGCGCAAGAAAGCTCAGCAGACAGAGCACTTGTACATGAACCTACGTATTGCTTCTGACACGAGCATCGCCAAACTGAGACGAATAACAAAGACTATGGACTTTTCTGGATTTAATAACTCGAACACGTTGCGTATCCGCATTAAACGCACCGCATCGATCCGGCAGCTCTACCGTCGGGTGTATAAAGAGACCGGCGCTCCCATGTAACGACAGCGCTTGTGGAAAGTCATTACGCGCGAAAATCGTACAACACGGCCTGATCAACCTCTCGGTCCCGATTTGTTTGGCTGTCGTGCGGACTGGCTGATCGAGGATGATGCATCGCATAAAGCCCCTGTTAGACTGTATCTTCAGATACTGAGTAGCGTGCCGAAATCTCCCCCATCGCCGTCGTCCCCGTCCATCCATGCTCTCGAAGTAGAAGAATTGAGTAAGATCGCAGCACCGGTTATCCATCGGCATTTTTGGGATGAATTTACACCTCCAGAGATTGAAAACAAATCGTTTGGCACAGGTGATACAACAGCTAGCCAGGGGACGGAGGATGGTGATGAGGATGCGGCCATTGCATTTGCTCCGGCTGGTGAAAGCATCGTAGTCGACCACGCGCCGGCGCTGCAGAGTTACGAAATTGTGTTGTTCATCAAGTTTTATGACCCTAAGCGGAAACTTGGCGAGCGTTTGGAGTATGTAGGTAACGTAGTAGTGGATTCGCGGATAACTGGTGCGGAGCTAGCGAAGTATCTGCACGACGCACTATCGCTTCCTATTATTGCGGAGTTACTGTTGTACGAGGGAGGTTCAATCGACCTCTGTGTCTGAGATCGACATGGAGTCAACATTAACGGGATCTGAAATTCAGAATGGTGATATAATTTGCTTCCAGTATGCAGCAAACGAAGATGTGTCGAACTGCGTTGTGATAAATCCAGGAATGGACGATGATCTTGGTGTGGTGGGGACGACGTATATCGGCCCTGATGGTGAAGAAATGAACAGTGTGATTTGTCCAGATAGTGAAGATAATCTGGCACATACCAGTTCATTACCGAATTTGAGTGCCAGGTATCACAATGGCAATCAAAGCCCTCATAGCCACGGGCTGGCTAAGGTAAGGGGCAACCATGTGCTGGAAAGCTTCACCAGCATCAGAGGCAGCTATCAGAGAGATATCCAGACGTGCCCTCGTACTTCCAATACCCGCTGGATCGCGTGGAGGTGACTTTTCATCGGTATGGGCATTCGGAGGAAGAGTCCTTTTACCCTTTCACTTTTGTTCAGTAACGTGTATGATGAGGTGATCGATGCTGTGGCGTCACACTTGGGACT